TTTCAGTAGAACACCATACAGATGTTTCAGAAAAGCAAACAGGTTAATTTCAAATTCAGCAAAAACAATACCATACAAAAAAATTAAAAACACCACACAAAGAAAGCCCAAAAGTATTGGTATTTGAAAAGGAAGAAACAACTAATTCAAGAGATCAATAAATGTGGCTACAGTTGAAGTTGTAAACCAATACCAAGTAGGATGACCTGTAATAGATGGATGGGATAGTCAGCAGAAAGAAGGGTGCACGTTGTGGTGGTGTCAGGAACTGGGTAGCTGAGTTTTTATAGATTCAGTTTGCTGCTATGTGAAGAATGAATGGGTGAGCTTTCTGGGCACTGTTGAAAGGCATCCCTTGAAGTTCAGTGAGTGAATGAGATGCTTTGCGAGCAAGTTGTGGCACAACAACTGGAGAGGGCTACAGGTGGGAAAGAGGAAGGGAAACGAAGGCCGAGTTCTCCCTGGCATGTCCATTGCATGGCCAGTACGGTGATGGTTCTTAATGCTGTGACCTCATTTTAGAAACAGGTTCTATGCATGAGGCTTCAACAGCAATCAGGACTTTTACTGGAAAGAATCTAAGACCATACTTCAGACCATCATAAAAACAACCTGCATTATAACAAGGCCTCTAGTTTTTCACATACACATTGATCTGAAGTGTTTCTGTATGTGACTATCAGCATATGGTGTATTGACAAGTAAAAATCAAACTTTCATAAAATCATTGTTCTTTTGTCTAAAAATTAGTGTGTTAAGTAATCTGATGAAGCAACGATGTTATCTTGTGTTGGTCAATTTAGTTCTAAACATAGAGGATCTGTCTCCATTGCTGCTTTTCTACACGATTAAAGGAAAACAGGAAATAAACTAGGCCTCTAAATCAGCTGAGGGTTTGGAGTTGAAAGATTAACATACCAGTTGGTTGGATTGCTTATTTTCTCTTTTCTACCTGATGCCAAAGCAGCCACATGAAAATGAAACATCAAAATATTGAGTTATTGGCTTTGCCCTGCATAAACCATGAGTATATTTGGCTAACTTTCATTGTCTAAATTATTTAACTTTTGCTTACTTGTAAGAAATGTAGTCTTTGTACTCTAGAAAAAAAATAATCCAAGAAAAATTAAAAGCATTCTAGCCATTTCAAGGTAAAAAATATATATATCTAAGGTTCTCGAAAGATTCATCTTTTAGCATTTAACAAAAAAGAAGCTTTGTCTGTAGTATGTTTGGCTCATCTCTCTGTGATCTGGCCACACTTCCCAGTGTGTGCTTATTGTAAATTCAGAATGGCTGGGAAACTTCCTGTTCAGATAGCTTATTTTCATCTGATCCCAATTTTCCTACCAAAGGCTCAGACCACCCATGACAAATAAACAAAATTACCACTGAGAGCTAATTTTGTAATGAAAACAATTTGAACATAAATGTGTGAAGGGCAGAAACTTCTATGAATCTTTTCTTTTGAAGGCCACAATTCATTTTTTTTTCAATACAGGGTTTTTCTGTGTAGCCTTGGCTATCCTGGACTCACTTTGTAGTCTAGGCTGGCCTTGAAGTCATAGGGGTCCAGCTGCCTGTCTGCCTGAGTGCTGGGATTGCAGGTGTGCGCCACCACGCCCAACTGCAATTCAGGTATTAATCAAGTAATTAGTTTGCATGTGCAAGACACTGAACATTCTGTCTTTACTATAGCCTTAAATGTTGGGGTTGCAGAAACCTAGAGTTGTTTCTGTGTTGTGATTTTCAGATGTTATGGAATTTTCCAGGTTTCGATTTTCTTGTATGAATAGGGTCATGCTTGTATCTCCTTCTTGATTGTTTTATAATGTATAAATATGACATGAATGCTAAAGAGACTTGAGATATGACAACTCCTGTATAAATATAGTAGATTGTTATTGTGAAGTGTGTTTTCTTGGAGACATTTTAGGATTCATGGCATGTTCTGTATCTGGTAACATGTAACTTGGTATGGCCAAATTCTGCCATCAACAAGTTTCATTTTCCAATACTTTCTTTCTAAATGTCAAAAGCAGAAATTACCACCTTTAGCACAAATATATTTTATGGGATTAAGACTTTTTGAAATGTTTATCTGAGTACATTTAAAAAGCACCTCCATACAAACTTTGAAAAATACATCATTATTAAATGAATTTATTGGTTTCATTTCTATTTTCATTTTTATCAAAAAAAGGGAGTAGTGTTCCACAAAGCTGAGGACAAGAGAAAATGTAACTCTAAGTAAAGTGCATAATTTGGAACCCTGCCCGATAATGGGGCAGAGCGAATCAATGATGTGTGTGTGTGGGGGGGTGCTACTTATCTAGGTGTGAAGTTCTCCAGAGAGGAGAGTTTTGATCTTACTCCCATGTCACCTTTGGTCTCTGGTAGACAGTGAGAGTCTCGTTGAGATATTGCGTAATTTGAGGAAGAAACAGTGACTTTAGTGTTAAAGTGTGTTCGTGGATTGAGACATCCAAAGGAAAGGATGTTGTGCAGTCTATAGGATATATATAAGTTCAGTGTTCAGCCTGTGAAGCAAATGAAAAGCAATCTTCAGTATCAAGTTGTAATTGACAACACTGTAGTGAGTGGGATACAGAGCTTTCCCTCCTCTTACCCTCAGTCTGCTTTAGTTCAGTGTTCACAAGTACAGCCTGTTCAAAGGTTAAAATCTGTAAAGTAAAAGTGAAGGCATATAGGAGATTACAAAATCCATACATGTAAAGAAAACAGAGGGGGGGAAAACTCCTTTGAAAGGCAGGAAGAAAATTAGGAATATAGGAGACCAAAAGGAGGGGTATTTCCAAAAACAGTAAGCAGTGAGCTTCACAAATACTTCACAGAAATTGATTTATTTGAAAGACAGAAGTTTATAGGTGAAATTTAGAGGCACTTAATTGTCCTATGTGGAAGAGAGCAAGAGGGAAGGGCAGGACCCTACATTTCCCATGTTGAAATGGACCTTTTGACCATATTTTGAAAGGTTCTAGGATTTGTTCTTGTTCTAAGTGATGGGTTCCAGCATTTAGACCAGTAGTAAAGCTTCTGACGGCCAGAATGATATTCTAGAAAACCCTCAAGCTCCTGTGGCCTTAAGCTACAGTGTGAACCTCTTGCAAAGCTCAGATCTAAATATGGTTTCGCAGCTGTCCCTAAACTGTGTTTCCAGTTCCTAATAGGCTGTATTACAGTATAATCTGAACCTAACAGATATTGATGACAATAGTGAACACCCTGTATTTATGCTTAAATATTCAAGCATGTTACACCAGGAAGGAAATAAGGTATATGAAACTTATGCACACCTCACAAGAATTTCTGTGCTGTCTCTGTAGAGGAATGAGAGCTTTATGTGTAGATGAATGAGTACCACCAGGCACTAGCTTTCACCTACAGGATCTTGAGAAGCCTGAAACTCCTTTCCACATGTATGAAATGTGGGTGATGTCAACAGCTGACAACTTCTGGGCACCCAAAAGTTAATTGTTATTTTTAAGGGTGTGGCTGCTTGTATGTTCACTGCTCCAGTGGATGTCCCCACACCAGTAAATAAATTAGATAGACTGGGTTACTTAAGGAGAGAAAAAAAAAAAAAAAAAACCAAGAGGACACAAATTAGGTATGAAGGTGGGAATAGACTTGTGAGGAGTTAGGCAGGGGACTGGAAGATGAATGTGATCAAACTCTATTCTGAGAATTCTCAAAATTTAATAAAATATATTAGCAACAAAAACAAACAGTTCCAGGTGTAAGGATGGGATTAAGATGTGAAGTTTTGATTCATTCCTGGCATAAAGTAAGGTGTGTAGAAATAACCATAATGATTCAGGAAAGCATGAAAATGTAGGCATGAATAATGGGTTAAGATCCAAAAGATACCAGTGTGGAAAAATGTCTCTCACTGAGAAACAAACTTAGACTCCATGAGTTATCTTGAAGATTGACTAAGTGTAAGAGTGACTGGCTCTCTGGAGGTATTGTCAGCAAGGGCATGGGGATGTTCTGGCAAGTTAGTTTTCATTTGACATCATTCTGCATTAGGGTTATAAGGAAGCCATTATCTGTCAGGAACAGCCATATCACCTTCAGTATTGGGAGGATGGGATTTAATGATCTTTACCCTTGAAGATCTTTACCTTAACCTTTAAGTCTCGACAAATATCTCAAGTGTTTTAAGAACCATATTGCATAAATATTCTCTGAATAACTGAAAAATACAGTCTGTCTCCAAGTTTTATGAACATTTTATGTTACTTAGAAAAGTAATTAAAGATGGGATTTGAGTAAGAACAATGTCCCACATAGTTTGAGTACCTGATTTAATTTCTTTGGCATTTTGATATTTTCCTGCGTTTTCCCTTGTCTTTTTTTTTTTTTTTTCTTTTTTTCTGAAATGAAGTAACAACTCAAAAACTTAATTCTGTTGCTGGTGTCACTAATGAATAATTTAGTATGTGGGTTTAGAACTGTGCTAAAGCCTTAATTTTCAAAATAAGAGTAGGAAACTCATCACTGGAAGACCTTGTTTCCGTGCTCGTCAACCTGACCGACTCTGCAAAGGAATGCAATGATGATTTATTTCTGTCATCTTTGGAGCTGAGGGAAGAGCAACAACAACAACATTTTTCTTAAAGGCAAATCACACACAAAATTGCAGGTCAAGAGGATGAAAAGGGGAAAAAAATCTTGCAAAGGCTGAGCTTTCCACCCCCTCCCACAGTCTCTGGGAGGGTGTCTTTGGTGGCTCCTAACTGATTCTGCCACTGTAAAATCCTACAGTCATCCTTCCACACATAAAGGACAAATAGGCAGAAGAGGAGGGCCTAGATGCTTTCAGTTTTAACTCTTCACCAATAGTGGAAAAGGCAGAATGCCTAAGCTATGGCTCTGTGGCCAATAGGATGGCTGTGTGTCTCTCACATGACTGCCTGCCCCTGCCTTTCGCATGGGCTCTAATTTAGTTCAATTCAGAACTGCAGATAGTACGGTTTCCACAGGAGCAGGGATGCCTGAGCAGAAGTGGCTGAGTTTCGAGTGACTTTAGGAAATGCTTCTCCCCTTTCCAGGGCATGCAAACAGGACTCTGCACCTGCCCCCGGGGTCAGTCCAGAGAGAAGCCTCTGCTTCGCCTGCAGGGATGAGGAACTAGAGCAAGCAGCAGCATTTGAAAATTGTAAGTAGACATTTCTTCCCATCAAGTGTGCTGATTACAATAGTTTTCTGTCAGAAGCACAAAATATTCGAAGGTTTGTCGGGGAGCTCTCTTATGTGTAGTTTGAAAGGTAGCTAAAGAGCAGGGAACTATTTGAGGAGCATTCGTTGCATGCTTTCTTCTGTGAAAGATAAAGAATTAAAAAGAAAAGTCAGGCTTTCTGAGGAGTAGCTACGTACTGGGACACAGCTCCAGCATGCTGCTTTGTTCATAGGGAAAATGCAGGCATCCGCATATGTACTTACTGACCTTCTTTTCGTTCTTCATGTCTAATCAGATTTGATCTGTCCCCAGGAAAAATAAAAGACAAACTTTGCTGACTCCACTGACGAGGGCACCCCACACTTTCCAGACATCTGACAGTTATTATAATTAGCCATGAAAGACTGCTAAAGACACTTGGAGGCAAATAGCTCTTAAATCTGAACAATGGCTTCGAGCCAGGGCTTTCTTTTGATTCATTTTTGAAGTGTTTTAAATTTTACAATAATGACAGAAAATGAACTGGGTTTTGTGTTTTGTCCACAAAATGTGAAATGAGGTCCGAGCACGAGTGAGGGCAGCTGAAAGTGCCCAGTGTAGAGAAGGAAAAGACAGCTTTCTGCCTTAGGAGCCAGGCCTCCATATAAAGATTTTTTTTTTTTAATTCCTAATAGGGTGGGGTGGGGATGTGGGGGTGGGGAGGAAGCATGCCGGAGCTTCTTCATAGAAGAATCCTCAAAGAATAAAATAAATTAGGATTTCTTCCTGCCGGAGGGGGCAACGCTACAGCTAACATCTAAGTTGTATTTATGGAAAGATTTCTTTTGAAGGAGTTTTAAACAGAAGTGACATTCAAAGCAGTATTTTTTTTAAATTTATACAATAATTGGAAACAAATGGTAGAAAATGTTCCTGTTACTGATTTCTTTTCTTATTCAGCATGTGTAATTCAGCAATGCATGTCTTTCCTTCTAGAATCAACCAAATCCTTAAAAAGTTATAAGTTTAGTCTGATAAGAATTGGAACTGCAAATCAGGTCAGTGTGATTATGACTGATGAGGCTTTTGAACAACAAAGACTCTGACAGAAAGAGAGTTTATAAGAACACACTGCCCTCCCCATTTTAAAAAGAGAATATTAACTCCATCAATTATTGAAAGGAATTATTCAAAGGCTCCAGACATAACTAATTATGGCTTAGAGAGGTGCCAGAGCTCAGCCTGTGCTGTAATTATAAAAGTCCAAGACATTAGGAATCTTTTTTTTTTTTTTTTTTTTTTTAAGGAGGCTTGAGCACGAGTTTTCACATAATCTTTTAAAAATACACCGGTTTTTCTTTGTCTGCTCTCATGTTATCTACACCTCCCCCACCGCCGCCCACTGTGTGCTGAGACACCTGAAGGCTAGACATAATGATCAACAGAGCTCCAGCCTGTCTGGACTCCAGCCAGGTTTTTTTCCCCTTCTACAATCAAGGAGCTTGCACGCAATGCATGCCGAGCCCATTCCACCGCTATGTGCAGATCCGGGATGGAAGTCGTACACATACTGCGGAAAGATTAAAGACAACAATATCCCCTTTCTCCTACCCTAGACAGACTCAATTTTTAACCCTTTCATTGCCTTTAAAACCAAGATGTCTCAAGCACTCAAAGACAGGTCTCCGGGGACCCTGCAACTCCTGCACCATTTCACATAGAGGCACACGCCTCATTTGGTGTGGAAATCTCATCTCCACGGATCCTGGCAGAATATTTGAGGATTCACAGTGTGTTAACGAAACGAAACAGAATTCGCTTGTGTGGGGAATGCATTTTTGGACAAACTTACGCTATAAGAAGTCGGAGGTCTGTGGGGAAGGTTTTCGCAAGCCTTGCAGAGGGCTTCTAGGGGTGCTGTTCTGTAAGCATCGTTCTGTGTGTCTGTGTCTTTTTCTCATTCTCCCTCTCTCTCTCTTTCACACACACACATAAGACACACACACCAGCTAGACATCACTACCACAAGAACTCAGGTTAGTTGTTGATGTCATCACAGATAAAATTTTGCCTTTGTGGGCAACATTTTAAATCACCTAGACGTCAGTGTCTTCTGGGTGTGTGCCCGAAGGAAGTTCAAGTGTTTGCCGGGTTAACCGACGCCCACAGGAAAGCAGTCTTTTATTCGGAGCTGTCTCGAAGATGTTTTTACGGGGCAGTTTAGGTGTGCTTGTCATGATATGTGTAGTCAGACAGAGTTCTGTGGTTCTAAGACTCCTTATTAATATGCAGATTGAACATGTCAGAGGTGGCTGAATTTCGAATGGGTGTAGAAATGAAAAGCATTTTTAAGTAACTTGGCTCAAAATTTTACAACAGTAATAGTCATTATGAATTGGTATTTGTCATTTGCTATTAATTTTGCTGACTTCTAAATTATTTTTACTATTAAAATTCCTTAAGGAAAGAATAATTCATACAAATGATTTTGAGGTGATGCCCATTCTTATGCCTTTGTGAGTATGTCTGGATTAGATAAAACTTGGATTCAGTGTTTGTGCAGGAGTTCACTCTATTCATTTGTTTCTATGTTTGGGTCTCCCTAAAGAATCACTCACCAGAAAAGTGCTCTTATCTTTACTCATATACATGATGCTATTTTATTTTCCTCATATCAAATGGAAGAAAGGTGCTTTTACCACACCTTATGACTAGACTTTAGATAAAATGGAGAAAAATTCTATATACATACTACATCATAGCTATCAAGTTTTGGTATGTAATGTATCCCATAATATAGGAATTAGGGTACATTTACCAGCTCGGACATTCCTAGCATTTGAAATACACTTTTGTAAAATTTGGAATTCATTCTTCATACTTCTAATTTCGAGAGGATTTTCAGAGCACATGTCTGTGAACAGTTCCACTAAAGTGTCAGCATAACAATGGATTTATTTGCCAATGTATTATGTGATTGTTTAAAAAAAAAGAGAGAAAAAATATTGCTTCACTTGATTTTTGTTCAGAAAAGTATATAGTTGAAGAATAGACACATTTTGTACTTAGAAAAACTATTTATACAGTTGAATGATATTTCTGTGGTGTAACAGTCCACTGTAAACTAATAAATAACTTTTTCTCAGGCAAGACTTACTATTTTTATGTAAACAATCCCTTCCAATACATACTGGAGTTCTGGCCTGATAAAAATAATTTAATTTCTTTATCAGAGGAAGAAAGTGAACAAAATGTTTTATTTAGATTCCACCTACTTTCTGAAAGCCAGGCCTGACATTGCCCTTGGGGATACAGGTTACTAGAAAGGCATCTTTCAAAGACAAGAAGATAATGGACTTGATTGAAATAGTTGGACTACGTAAGTCCAATTCAAGAACAAATGGTTTTTCAGAACATAACGAAGAAAGAACAATTTCCTATAGTTTATTCTCCTTACACAATGGTAATGATTTATTGGAAATGGCAGAACAAACACAAGATAGATGTAACCCAAACAGAAAACAACCAATGGTCTTTTATGTCAAGGATGCATCCATCAAGATTCTTGGTTTAAACAGAATATTCTTACTATGAGTCTTTTTGTTGTAGATTTTTCTGGTTATGCTCCTCAGCATATACTTTAGAATATAGGATTTCGACCACAATGTATTTTTCTTATCATATAAAAGTGTTTGAAAAGGTATAGAGAGTGAATGTATTTTAATACAATAAAAATTGGGTAGCAACATCAACTGGTTGTGACTCTTCAAAGTGAGGATAATACTCAGATAATGAATAAATTACTTTATTGATGAGATAATGATTATGGATACTTCACAAAAAAATATAACTGAATCACTCCAAAAGCTTCAGTCCTAATTTAAAGAACAAAACAAAAACTACTATAAAACCAAACCATTTCTGAGCACTCGCATGATTCCCAGAAGTCTTCTTAGTTCACAGTCATGAACTCTCTTCATAAAGAGAAAGATTTCTTTTAAGCTTAGCCTGTAGGCTGAAGGCCTGAAATTATTGTGCACAGATGCCCAGGCAGTGTTCAGTGAGTACACAGGAAACTCTGCCTGCAATAAGCAAAGAAGGGAAACTGGTTTCGCTGCTTTAGGCTCCAGATTTTATCCCTCCAATCTGGATGCACCCTACACTGAAATTAATTTGAGTGAAGACGATCAAAGTTATTTTTGTAACTTATGAAAGATCCACTGCTTTGTAGATGGCCCGAGAAGGAGAAGTTCGGAAAGTGATTGACTGAGCCTCTGCTTGCTACCCACTCAGGCTTCAGTGAGGCACTGGGGTCAGACAGCTCATGAATCACAGATAGGAAATGAATCAAATGCATATTTGGAGGTTTATGTATCCACACACACAGACACACACACACACACATATATGTATGTTTTCCATAAACAGATTTTGGGTTGATTTTTGGCCATCTTTTAAAATACCAAGCCTTAGTTCAGCTGAAATAACTTTTTATACATATAGCCAAGACCAGATGGCCACATGCTCCTTTCTTATTTAGATGAGACTCTTCCTTTCAATAACATCTTTCTTCCTGACCTGCTTAAAAATTCCAGCAAATGAAATCAGCACAGGATTTTCAATTCTAATTGACCATGTGCAGAGGAAGGGCCAGGACAGAAATCAGTGGAGGCATTGTAAGTCTCTCTGCCTCAGTTCTGTCTTTGTCTTTCACCCTTGCTGGCCAATCTAAACTAAGTGAAAATATTGAAAATGTTTAACATTAAAATAGCTGCAATATTATTCTTCAGTGAGAATTAGTTGATTGGTCTGATTCTCTCATTTCATCATAAGAATAAAAAACTTAACATGCGCTTACACAGCTTTTTTTTAAAAGTACATTAAATATTAGCATGACCCTTGAATTGAGGTAAAAAGATGGAATGCCATATTTATTTTTCACATTGCTTAAATAAATCACTATTACATCATATGTACATATGTTAGAAGATAGATATGCA